GTATAATAGTTTAATGCCTGGTTTGTACAGGTAAAAATACTTCTTTAAAAGACCATCTTAAGCAAGCTTGGAAGTCCTGCGTAATATGGCCTCGTACCGACCCGGTCAATATGGAATCCAAACCTACCGCTGTGCTGCCCTCATTAAACAGAGGTAAACACCCAATGCTAAATTTGCTTTGATGTGAAAAAAATGAACATTCTCTGTCAGCTATTCAAAATTGATCATTAGCTCGCTTTGTTTGTGGGATATTCTTGTCAGTGGAATTACTGCCTAATCAGGGGAGAGCGCTGTACATCGTGCAGGTAGCAGAACCGACAATCTATACATCAATACATCCATCTCGCAATAACCAGCCAGGTTCAACGCTTGGGTGCTATTGATATTGTGTGTGTGTGTGTGAGAGAGAGAGAGAGAGAAAGGGAGGGAGAGAGAGTGATTATATGTGTCTAGGTAGGCGTGTGTATGTGTCTAGGTTGGCGTGTCTGTATGTGTGTCTAGGTAGGCGTGTGTGTATGTGTGTGTCTAGGTGTGTAGGCGATGTGTATGTGTGCGCGTGTGTGTATGTGTGTCTAGGTAGGTGTGTGTTGTGTATGTGTGTGTCTTGAATGTGTAAGCGTGTGTGTGTCTAGGTAGGCGTGTGTGTGTGTGTGTCAAGATGTATGTGTAAGCGTGTGTGTATGTGTGTCTTCGTAAGCGCGTGTAAATGTGATATGTGTCTAGGTAAGCGCGCGTGTGTATGATGTGTGTGTGATGTGTGTGTATGTGTGTGTGTAGGTAGGCGTGTGTATATGTGTGCCTAGGTAGGCGTGTGTATATGTGTCTAGGTAAGTGTGTGTGTATGTGTGTCTAGGTAAGCGTGTGATAGCGTGTGTGTATGTATCTAGGTAGGCGTGTGTGTAGGTAGGCGTATGTATATGTGTGTCTAGGTAAGCGTGTGTGTATGTGTGTCTAGGTAGGCGTGTGTGTATGTGTGTCTAGGTAAGCGTGTGTGTATGTTGTGTCTAGGTAAGCGTGTGTGTGTGTCTAATGTGTGTATTGTGTGTCTAGGTAAGCGTGTGTGTGTATGTGTGTCTAGTGTAAGCGATGTGTGTGTGTGTGTGTGCCTTGGTAAGCGTGTGTGTGTCCTAGGTAGGCGTGTGTGTATGTGTGTCTGTGGTAGGTAGGCGTGTATTGTGTATGTGTGTGTCTAGGTAAGCGTGTGTGTATGTGTGTGTCTAGGTAAGCGTGTGTATGTGTGTCTGTGTCCTGTGTAAGCGTGTCTGTAGGCGATGTGTGTGTGTCCTAGGTAGGCGTGTGTGTATAATGTGTCTTGGTAAGCGTGTGTGTATGTGTCTTGGTGCCTAGGTAGGCGTGTGTATTATGTGTGTCTAGGTAAGCGCGAAGTGTCGGTATGTGCGTATTGTGTGTGTAGCGTGTGTGTGTGTGTCTAGGTAAGCGTGTGTGTATGTGTGTCTAGGTAAGCGTGTGTGTGTATCTAAGCATGTGTCGTATTGATGTATCTGTATGTGTCTAGGTAAGCGTGTGTGTGTCTAGATAAGCGTGTGTGTATGTGTCTAGGTAAGCGTGTGTGTGTATGTAAGCGTGTGTGTACATGTGTCTAGTGTAGGCGTGTGTGTATGTGTGTCCTAAAGTGTGTGTATGTGTGTCTAGGCGTGTGTATGCGTATGTGCATGTGTCTAGGTAGTGTGTATGTGCGTATGTGTGCGTGCGTATGTGTGTGTGTATGTGTGTCTAGGTAGGCGTGTGTGTATGTGTGTCTAGGTAGGCGTGTGTGTATGTGTGTGTCTAGGTAAGCGTATGTGTATGTGTCTAGGTAGGCGTGTGCGTATGTGTGTCCGTGAAGGTAGGCGTGTGTGCATGTCTGGGTAAAGAATGGTGTATGTGTATTCATGTGTGTACATCATGTGTGTGTAAGTGTGTGTGCGTGTGTGTCTGTAAGTGTGTGTAGAGCATGCCAGTGTGTAAACGTATATGTGTGTGTAGGTGCGTGTGCCTGTATGTGTGTGTGTGTGTGTATGAGTGAAGGCATTGTGTGTGTAAGTATGTGTGTGTAGTGTGTGTGTGTGTGTGTGTTCAAGCGTATGTGTATAAGGCGAGTGTGCGTCTGCCTGCATGTAGGTGTAATTATTTGCGTGCGTGTATGTGTGTGTTCGGTAAAAGTGTGTATGTGTGTCTGCAGTGGTAATGACAATGTGTCGATACTCGTTACTATCGTTATCTTCGACGTCACTGTGATCATATCAGCAACGTCATCGTCGTCATTTTCTCTACCGTAATTCAGTGAAAACCATCGTAAAACATTGTAAATGTGTCGACGTTACAAGAATCCTATTACGGACATTTCCAGAAGCATGGCAACAAGCACACGTTCCAGCAGAAAGCCCCTAGGGGTTAAAACCGTCCTATACGTCACATAGAATATTAGTTAGTATGAGCTATAACCCCATCTAGAGCTGAGCTAACGGGGAACGCACCACTTACCAGCAATCTATGCAGATGGCCGCGTGTTGTGATGCCGGCATCAACGAATACGAGCTGACCTTCATCATTGGATTAGCATTGGGCGAGAGCGATCGTAGGGGGGCGGGCGGATGTACTCCAAATGGGCCTGGTATTGGGAGAAATTTGGAGATGATCTTATCGTACCGCTACGCAGTGCATTTGAGAAGCACTGACGCAGCACTGTGTACTCAAAGAGCACTAAATTCATGTAAATAGAGTGTTCCAATCAGGGGGAATTTGAGAAATCATGTCAAACCATCACGTCAATGGTTTCGGCGTTTTTGCACGCAAGAGAAATATAAGACATTACGTATGACCAGTTAGGCTTCCTGACAACCACAACTTACTTGGTAGAAATTCAGTTTCCGTTATAATGTTTGTGAGCGAGTTCGAGTGCATAATGCTCTTAAGAACGAACTTTGCAGTCATTAAACAAAATAATGGCAGTCGTGGTTTCCTGTGAACTGCAGGAACAGTGGGATTATATGCAGCGTTCTGACACACACTCAGCAGATGTCTCTTTAGCGAAAATATTGGAGTGAGTCCGGTCGGGGCCTTTTAAAGGACAAACATGAAGCAGTTCAAGAGCAAACTGTCCATGAACCATACGGAAATACCATGTCTATAATGTACTTCCAGTTACTGTTTAACGTCTTACGCTATGTTCCACTGAAGGGGACAAATATATGTTTCTATGTTTCATTGGTGGAAATCACACGTATGTACTCTCTGTTTCCTCAGGTTACTATTCCCTATATTGTACTCTCTGTTTCCTCAGGTTACTATTCCCTATATTGTACTCTCTGTTTCCTCAGGTTACTATTCCCTATATTGTACTCTCTGTTTCATCAGGTTACTATTCCCTATATTGTACTCTCTGTTTCATCAGGTTACTATTCCCTATATTGTACTCTCTGTTTCATCAGGTTACTATTCCCTATATTGTACTCTCTGTTTCGTCAGGTTTACTATTCCCTATATTGTACTCTCTGTTTCATCAGGTTACTATTCCCTATATTGTACTCTCTGTTTCATCAGGTTACTATTCCCTATATTGTACTCTCTGTTTCATCAGGTTACTATTCCCTATATTGTACTCTCTGTTTCATCAGGTTACTATTCCTATATTGTACTCTCTGTTTCATCAGGTTACTATTCCCTATATTGTACTCTCTGTTTCATCAGGTTACTATTCCTATATTGTACTCTCTGTTTCCATCAGGTTACTACTATTCCTATATTGTACTCTCTCTGTTTCATCAGGTTACTATTCCCTATATTGTACTCTCTGTTTCATCAGGTTACTATTCCCTATATTGTACTCTCTGTTTCATCAGGTTACTATTCCCTATATTGTACTCTCTGTTTCATCAGGTTACTATTCCCTATATTGTACTCTCTGTTTCATCAGGTTACTATTCCCTATATTGTACTCTCTGTTTCATCAGGTTACTATTCCCTATATTGTACTCTCTGTTTCATCAGGTTACTATTCCCTATATTGTACTCTCTGTTTCGTCAGGTTACTATTCCCTATATTGTACTCTCTGTTTCATCAGGTTACTATTCCTTTATATTGTACTCTCTGTTTCATCAGGTTACTATTCCTATATTGTACTCTCTGTTTCATCAGGTTACTATTCCCTATATTGTACTCTCTGTTTCATTAGGTTACTATTCCTATATTGTACCCTCTGTTTCATCAGGTTACTATTCCCTATATTGTACTCTCTGTTTCATCAGGTTACTATTCCCTATATTGTACTCTCTGTTTCATCAGGTTACTATTCCCTATATTGTACTCTCTGTTTCATCAGGTTACTATTCCCTATATTGTACTCTCTGTTTCATCAGGTTACTATTCCCTATATTGTACTCTCTGTTTCATTAGATTTCTATATTTCCTACTGTTTCACTAGGTATTATTATTCCATTTACTGTACTACTGTTTCAGTAGAGCATTATACCATTTACTGTACTGTTTCAGTAGAGCATTATTCCATTTACTGTACTGTTTCAGTAGAGCATTATTCCATTTACTGTACTATTTCAGTAGAGCATTATTCCATTTACTGTACTGTTTCAGTAAAGCATTATTCCATTTACTGTACTGTGTCAGTAGAGCATTATTCCATTTACTGTACCGTTTCAACAGAGCACTTTTCTTAAAACCGTACTGTTTCAGTAGAGCACAATTCCCTATACTGTACTGTTTGAGTAGAACACTATTCACTATAGTCTCTGCTTTACTGAGGGACAACTATGCCATTCGCTGAATGTTAGAATAAAAGAAAAATATTCCCCACCCAAAATTGAGTACAGAATGAGCAAAGGTTGACCATAATAAAACACAGAGAATGCAATCGCGAGTAGCTGTCCAACAAATATATTTAGCATACGGTGTGGTATAGTCTGGTATATATTAGTCCCTCGATGAAACGCAGAATATATTCAGATTTACCCGATGATATTTGAGAATGGTGAACACAACTTACTTTTTGTCGACGCTGTCGCAGGATGGAAGAGATTTGGAGCCTATGTGACACCGCACGTCACGTGACGTTGTGAACGCACCACGTGTGTTCCGCTCAGGCGACCAAACGATGACGTACACCTTCGGGAAGAAGAGCAACACCAGGGACACCGACGCTGACAACGTGATGGAGATACACGTCGTCACGACCTTACTGTCGCCGCCGAAGTAGATGGGGAAGAAGCCTAACCAGATAACACAGGTGGTGTACATAGTGAAGCCAATAAACTTGGCCTCGTTAAAGTTTTCAGGAAGGTTCCTGGTCTTAATGGCATACAGAGTACACATGAAGATGAGGAAGACGTCAAATCCGAGAGGCACAATGACCCCCAGGGTTGAAATGTTGCACACCAGCTGCACCCTGTTGTTACTGTAGTCCACGTGAGCGTCCGCCGGCTCAATGATCAGCATCACCGTGATCACAACACACTCTACACCTATCACAATACCTGTAATCACAACCTGAGCAGAGGCGCTCATGAACCGCGGCTTCTTAGTCATGATACGTTTACTGCCCTCCAGGATGCGGGCGATCCTGTTTGTTTTTGTGACGAGCGCTCCATAGATGAGAGAGAACGCAAGACCTGGAAGGATGCGAGACAGGTAGCAGGACGCCATTGAAGGCTTGGCTACCAAGACGAAGTTGCAGCAGTAGGCGAGGACGGTCCCCAGTAGGATGATGTAGCTCAGCTCCCGTGTCGACGCCTTCACCACCGGCGTGTCGTTGTGCCGAACAAACACGTAAAATACCCACAGCGTTACCACGATGCAAATACACGCCATCACCATGGAAACAATAGCTTCAGTATCGGACCAACTTGTGAATTCTATAGGTATCCGTTCACATTCTGAAACAAACGTCAAAAGAGATGTTCTAAACGACTGACTAACATTACAACAAATATATTTCTCTTACGTAATTTTGGATGTTGGGTAGCCTAGTGGTTAAAGCGTTCTCTGGTCACGCCGAAGGCCGGTGTTCCATATTGCTGGAATATTGCTAAAAGCGGCGTAAAACCCCACTCACTCACTCACTCTTACATAACTATTATTTCCGCTGCCCACAAACATTTTGTCCCTAAAGCTCAGTAGGATCGATTTCATCCGTATAGGAAGAGTATCTATTCTCTGGCGTTAACAATATATATATTTTCTTTAATGCGCATTAATACTAATCCTTTCATAGATTCTGTATCAATGTTTTGCCTCTTACGTCTAATCCAAGTTTGGCCAGATAATCAATATGTTTGGGCTTTGGCGTTTCATGTATACTACTATGAATGATAGTTTCACAGATAGGATAATAAAACCGGCATGGTGTCCATCATTTGCAAATATTAAAGCATGGACGTCAAATGAAGTGAACACTGCACCTGAGAGGTCGAAATTTGGTCTCCAGCCACGGTCACATGGCATGCACGTGACGTTGTCTCGTACAATCTCGTTGTCCTTACATGGCGTACACACCCAGCAGCAGCCTATATCCTTCCCTTGCTGGAACAGATAGTGACGTCATACACTTGAACAACAGAATGTTGATAATGCTGGGGTGTTATATGCCATAATGAATATACTTTATACTCTTCAATGAACACTCGGTACATTTTTACCATAACAAAAACACGTTACAGCTATTGTTTAAATGCACATGACATTATAGAGTGCAACGAATACATCTTAAAGCTCTGCTGAAATTCCCTGGATGACGTGGGCTATAACAATTACACCTTATAGGTCCTGCTTAAGTTAGAGTAAAACGAATACACCTTGCTGAAAGACAGAGGACGTTATGGACTATAACAAATGCATTTTACTGAACTACACGTGAAGATACGGGTTAGAATTGATCTTCAATAACCACTTCTTGTCGTAAGAGGCGACTAACGGAATCAGGTGGTCAGGCTCGCTGACTTGGTTGACACATGTCATCGTATCCCATTTGCGTAGATCGATGCTCATGCTGTTGATCACTGGATTGTCTGGTCTAGACTCGACTGTTTACAGACCGCCGCCATATAGATGGAATATTGCTGAGTGTGACGTAAAACTAAACTCACTCACTCTGAACTACACATGACGTTATAGACTGTTGCGAATACACCTTACAGCCCTTGTTGAAGTACACAGCTCGTTACAGACTGTTGCGGATAACCTTTATAGTCCTTGCTGAGCTACATATGGCGCTATATACCATAAAAGATACCTCTCATCTCTTCATCATGTACAGGAGCGATAACCATCACTGTTGCATATGTGATTTTAATTACCGCCTTCGTAGGCTATTTTCAAATACAATGTCATCTTCACTCATAACTAAGACCCACATCTGACCATCAATCATCTGTTAATCCATCACTAGGGACAGGTAGCCTGAGACATTCCCCGATGTGTCTGGATGACGCCAAATCATATATTCTTAACTGCAGCCACAGCATAGACCCAATCAACAGTTATTTTCTAATGTAAGCCTACATATAATGCTATAGAAAGGAGCAGAGAGATTGTGTTCATTTTTCCAGAAGCTGAGGAAATCTAGACATGATAAAAAATTATAGATATGCTTGATGGATTTTGAAAATTTTTGTGTTAGGATTTGTGCGAGATCTTCATTTCACAACACGGCCTCAGCACATTTTTTCTTCATAGCGGAGTGGTGCGCATGATTAAATAACTGGATTGTTTGGTACAGCTTCGATTACTTATAGACCGCGGTCATTTGTGCGACGATTTGTGGAAGACTAAAAATTAACATCAGTGATGGTAAATCGGAAATAAAGCTCTCAATGGCTTTAGATAAATAACAATATTTTGCTTGGTAAATCAACTAAGGAGATGTAGGCTTTCACGCTAGTCAGCCTAGTTCTGGTACTGATGTCTTTTTGACCCGATAACACCGTCATCCCAAGGGAAGCGATATCGCCAAGTCGGACTAATTACCGTAGGTTGTTCATCTCACAGGCAAATCACACGAGTCCGAGCTCATGACCTCCCGACGACATGAAAATACTTTTAACCACTGCAATGACTGATATAGGTTCTATTACATGTCAGCCAACTTCCAAGCAAATCCCTAGTCGCCTTACCATCACGTGACCTAGCTCACAGGGCAGGCTGCAGACAGAGGTCACTGGTTTCTCGTGGTCTTTTCCCGGCCAGAACATATTCTCGCGCATGTCTAGTGACCCGGATATCCATGAGCCGATGGTGACGTAGTTGTACGTTGCATTGTCCCCGCTGCTAATATTCCGTTGGTAGTTCACGATGTCGTATCTAGAAAGAATGAAGTGGTACAGCAAAAAATGCACACTTTAAACTTTTTCCGTGTTTCCTAATTACAGTCAGCTGCAAACTTAATACCGCGTTAATAAAACAGGTCAAACTAACTGAATTGAGTAACTGCATGTAATCAACAGTCAATTACATCAAACAGATGTAAGTGGCAAAAAAAACCTGCACACCTCTTTGATGGTTGCTAGAACGAAGACCATTTACTTCAGTCAAGGAGTCACCGATAACCCCAATTACACAAAAGGTGTGTGAGTGAATATGTTATTCCGCCGCTTTAAGCAATGTTCCAGTAATATCACGGCGGGGTACACCAGAAATGGGTTTCACACAATGTGCCATGTGAGGAATCAAACTCGGGTCGCCAACGTGACAATAAAATAAGATAAAAAAAAGATGAAACCCAGAAAAAGTCTCTATGTTCATCAAATAGCATCTTCTATAATTTTTATTACAATTTACGTTTTTATTACAATTTACGTCAAGTTTATTACAATTTGCTGCAAGTATTACAATTTGCGTTTTCATTACAATTTACGTCGTAACAGCCAATCAAACATCTAGGACGTTTAACCGTTAGCCTACCCCGCCGCCGCTACACAGAGAGGAAGCCAGTCTCACACAGAGCACTAGTTCCAGTATCACAACACAGATAAGGAATTTATAACAGACCGGGTAGTCCACCTTTAATGGGTGACTGGGCTCTGACTGTTCGGTATTCTGTGCAGGTTCTATTCAGGTCACCAAGACAATATTGTTTCGGAGATGCCTACAGTGTTGTGGCGTGTATGATGTGACGTTAATGATTACCAGTTAGAGAAAAACGTCTGAACCTAGACTGAAAATGGACAAAAAACAGTAAAACACAGCCCCCCTTTAAGTGAAAAGGGGAACCCACAATTTGCCTGCAAATGTGTCCTTGTGCACACAACTCATCCATGTATATTACAATAATGGGGGCGGTGGGGTAGCCTAGTGGTTAAAGCGTTCGCTCGTCACGCTAAAAGGCCGGGTTCGATTCCCCACATTGGTACAATGTGTGAAGCCCATTTCTGGTGTTCCCCGCCGTGATATTGCTGGAATATTGCTAAAAGCGGCGTAAAACCAAACTCACTCACTCACTCACTATTACAATAATGATGTAGGAAACACATTGTTATGATTACACAGATAGATGGTATAATCATAAGACAAAAAACATCTTCACATAATGAGCAACTATCTTCCATCTCGCAATGTTAAGCCTGAAAGTTAACAATGATGGTCAGTCATAATGTGTCACATAATTTGCAAATTGCTATCGGAAGTATGAGACATACGTTAAAGTGGTGTGTTGTATTTACAACAATAAAATACACCGACTGATAGCATGGTCGGACCTTTATGAGAGACACGTGTTATTTTTCGGTAACATGAGTTATGGTAATGTATTTACTGAAGCAGGCAGTAAAAAGAAAATCGTGTGAACTGTATATGAAATTAAAATGCACGCACCTGCCAGGAGGGTCACCTTTGTGGTCAAAGGAGAAGGTTTCATTGCTGTACGTGGTGAAGGTGACGTTGAGGATGTGTTGGAGGAGGACTGTGCCGTTGATGGGTTTCATCTGGGAACACAGTCCCCGGGTCTCTCTACCACACAGAGCAGTCTGCATCCGGTCCAGTGCGAGGGCCAAAGTATAAACCGCCGTCACAACGAACCCAAGCTTGGAGTCCTGAGTCGAACCCTCTAGTGTCTCGCTTCCTGAAAGTACATCACGAAAACAGGTAACACTGAAAGCTACTCTTAGCAATAATCCAGCTACATGACGGCAGTGTGTTAATATTCGAGTCTGGACCAGACAATCCAGATGAATGACATCATGACCATCGATCTATATGCAAGTAGGACACGATTACATGCATCGGCGAACCTTCAATCCTGACCGCACGCTATCGTCCGCTGCTTCTTGCAACGTTTTGTCTTGACTCCCAACAGGTAAAGTCTTCGATCGTCACGCCGAAGACCCGGGTTCGATTCCCCACATGGGTACAATGTATGAAGCCTATTTCTGGTGTACCCCGGTGTGATATTCTTGGAATATTGTTAAAAGCGGCGTAAAACCCAACTCACTCACTCTTCAGCACGGGTATGACATTTCAAGGCTTTGATTCAATGCATGACAATAGGCCACTTTAAACAACATTCCAGCTATATGAATAGTCTTCCCACATCCCACCCATGGGCAACCCAGTCATACAGGGCAGCCAATGAGTTACCGCTTTTATCCGTTCATCAAGGCTATGTAGGACCTTACGTTATATCCTAAAATGTACACTAAGAAACCCTCGGCCGGATACGTGCAAATGGAGGACAATGTGACGATCCTTGTATAGATACATATATTCCCCGTTAATGAGCATGACTGAAACCGAAGAATCAAGTTAATACCGAAAAGAAACAATAGGACAAAGAATATGATAGTTATTTTTATCATAATTTGAAATATGTTCTTACATGATATATAATGTTGCCATGGAAACGGTCAGATTGATGAGCATCGCAGAATAATGCTACAAAATTGTCTTCGGTCAAGTGTGATTATGAACATAACTGAAAAAGGGAAGAAATCTTGTGACAGTTATACCACCTGGAGAGGATGTACACAATGCGTGTCGAAATGATTTAAACAAGTTAAAAAGGTGTTTGGGTAGCAGCAGCCATTACATGTTGTTTTAAGACCTGAAGTGTCCGTGATTGCTTCTAAGTACGCCGAGGTACAATCAAGCCAATCTCTACCAAACTAAATTTGATTGATCTCATCAAACTGTTTCGCGTGGGCTTTCCGCAGAAATCGACTTCTAGTTTAGTTATAGTGTTCCAATTACCCAAGCGCTAAGAGTGACAGTCCACTAAGCACATTTACGGCCTTTAATGGTCGGTCGCTTCAAGCCAGGGGCTGCGATACTGGGGTCAGGTTCGGGGTTTGCGATACTGGGGTCAGGTCCGGGAACTGCGATACTGGGGTCAAGTCCGGGGTCTGCGATAGTGAGGTCAGGTCCGGGGGCTGCGATACTGGGGTTAGGTTCGGGGGCTGCGATACTGGGGTCAGGTCCGGGGCCTGCGATACTGGGGTCAGGTCCGGGGGCTGCAATACTGAGGTCAGGTCCGGGAACTGCGATACTGCGGTTAGGTCCGGGGCGTGCGAAACTGGGGTCAGGTCCGGGGGCTGCGATACTGGGGTCAGGTCCGGGGGCTGCGATACTGAGGTCAGGTCCGGGAACTGCGATACTGGGGTCAGGTCCGGGGTTGCGATACTTGGGTCAGGTCCGGGGGCTGCGATACTGAGGTCAGGTCCGGGAACTGCGATACTGGGGTCAGGTCCGGGGCCTGTGATACTGGGGTCAGGTCCGGGGCCTGCGATACTGGGGTCAAGTCCGGGGTCTGCGATAGTGAGGTCAGGTCCGGGGGCTGCGATACTGGGGTTAGGTTCGGGGGCTGCGATACTGGGGTCAGGTCCGGGGCCTGCGATACTGGGGTCAGGTCCGGGGCTGCGATACTGAGGTCAGGTCCGGGAACTGCGATACTGGGGTCAGGTCCGGGGTTGCGATACTTGGGTCAGGTCCGGGGGCTGCGATACTGAGGTCAGGTCCGGGAACTGCGATACTGGGGTCAGGTCCGGGGCCTGTGATACTGGGGTCAGGTCCGGGGCCTGTCGATACTGGGGTCAGGTCCGGGGCCTGCGATACTGGGGTCAGGTCCGGGAACTGCGATACTGGGGTCAGGTCTGGGGCCTGCGATACTGGGGTCAGGTCCAGGGGCTGCGATACTGGGGTCAGGTCCGGGGGCTGCGATACTGAGGTCAGGTCCGGGAACTGCGTTACTGGGGTCAGGTCCGGGGCCTGTGATACTGGGGTCAGGTCCGGGAACTGCGATACTGGGGTCAGGTCCGGGGCCTGCAATACTGAGGTCAGGTCAGGGGTTTGCGATACTGGGGTGTGGTCCAGGGTTTGCGATACTGAGGTCAGGTCCGGGAACTGCGATACTGAGGTCAGGTCCGGGGGCTGCGATACTGGGGTTAGGTCCGGGGGCTGCATTCGTTGAGTTAGGAAAAAGCCTGTCGAAGCATCTGCTGTACACAAGACAATAAAAACCTGTAGTGTGACCAGCTAAACATCTGGGGCATGTTGGTAACAAGCTATATATACACTGCAGCAGAACTCGCGCAAGGCAGCTGTGATACAAATGTGAAGGAACCCCTGTGTTCACTGGGCCCGCTTCGTCTGTAGATGAACTCCAGCAAGACAACCAGCCTACTTCTGTAGCTAAACTCCAGCAAGACAACCAACCTACTTCTGTAGCTGAACTCCAGCAAGACAACCAACCTACTTCTGTAGCTGAACTTCAGCAAGACAACCAACCTACTTCTGGAGCTGAACTTCAGCAAAATAACCAACCTACTTCTGGAGCTGAACTCCAGCAAGACAACCAACCTACTTCTGGGGCTGAACTCCAGCAAGACAACCAACCTCATTCTGTAGCTGGACTCCAGCAAGACAACCAACCTACTTCTGTAGCTGAACTCCAGCAAGCCAACCAGCCTACCAACCTACTTCTGTAGCTGAATTCCAGCAAGCCAACCAGCCTACCAACCTACTTCTGGAGCTGAACTCCAGCAAGACAACCAACCTACTTCTGGAGCTGAACTCCAGCAAGACAACCAACCTACTTCTGGGGCTGAACTCCAGCAAGACAACCAGCCTACTTCTGGGGCTGAACTCCAGCAAGACAACCAACCTACTTCACGAGCTGAACTCAAGCAAGACAACCAACCTACTTCTGGAGCTGAACTCCAGCAAGACAACCAACCTACTTCTGTAGCTGAACTCCAGCAAGACAACCAACCTACTTCTGTAGCTGAACTCCAGCAAGACAACCAACCTACTTCTGTAGCTGAACTCCAGCACCTACTTCTGTAGCTGAACCAACCTACTAACCTACTTCTGTAGCTGAACTCCAGCAGCAAGACAACCAACCAACCTACTTCTGGAGCTGAACTCCAGCAAGACAAGCCCTTCTGGGGCTGAACCTACTTCTGTAGCTGAACTCCAGCAAGACAACCAACCTACTTCTGGGGCTGAACTCCAGCAAGACAACCAACCTACTTCTGTAGCTGAACTCCAGCAAGACAACCAACCTACTTCTGTAGCTGAACTCCAGCAAAGCCAACCAGAGCTACTCCAGCCTACTTCTGTGTAGCTGAATTCCAGCAAGCCAACCAGCCAGGGCTCACTGGTAGCAACTCCAGCAAGACAACCAACCTACTTCTGGAGCTGAACTCCAGCAAGACAACCAACCTACTTCTGGAGCTGAACTCCAGCAAGACAACCAACCTACTTCTGTAGCTGAACTCCAGCAAGACAACCAACCTACTTCTGTAGCTGAACTCCAGCAAGACAACCAGCAAGACAACCAGAACTTCAGCAACTCCAACCAACCTACTTGTAGCTGAACTCCTGCAAATTCCAGTAGCTGAACTCCAGCCAGCCTACCAACCTACTTCTGGAGCTGAACTCCAGCAAGACAACCAACCTACTTCTGGGCTGAACTCCAGCAAGACAACCAACCTACTTCTGGGCTGAACTCCAGCAAGACAACCAACCTACTTCTGTAGCTGAACTCCAGCAAGACAACCAACCTACTTCTGAGCTGAACTCCAGCAAGACAACCAACCTACTTCTGGGGCTGAACTCCAGCAAGACAACCAACCTACTTCTGTAGCTGAACTCCAGCAAGACAACCAACCAACCAACCTACTTCTGTAGCTGAACTCCAGCAAGACAACCAACCTACTTCTGTGGCTGAACTCCAGCAAGACAACCAGCCCTACTTCTGGGGCTGAACTCCAGCAAGACAACCAGCCTACTTCTGGGCTGAACTCCAGCAAACCAACCAACCTACCTTCTTCTGTAGCTGAACTCCAGCAAGCCAGCCAGCCAACCAGCCTACCAACCTACTTCTGTAGCTGAACTCCAGCAAGCCAACCAGCCTACCAACCTACTTCTGAGCTGAACTCCAGCAAGACAACTAACCTACTTCTGAGCTGAACTCCAGCAAGCCCAACCTACTTCTGTAGCTGAACTCCAGCAAGACAACCAACCTACTTCTGTAGCTGAACTCCAGCAAGACAACCAACCTACTTCTGTAGCTGAACTCCAGCAAGACAACCAACCTACTTCTGTAGCTGAACTCCAGCAAGACAACCAACCTACTTCTGTACTTCTGGGCTGAACTCCTTCTGTAGCTGAACTCCAGCAAGACAACCAACCTACTTCTGTAGCTGAACTCCAGCAAGACAACCAACCTACTTCTGGGGCTGAACTCCAGCAAGCCAACCAACCTACTTCTGTAGCTGAACTCCAGCAAAACAACCAACCTACTTCTGGAGCTGAACTCCAGCAAGACAACCAACCTACTTCTGGGGCTGAACTCCAGCAAGACAACCAGCCTACTTCTGTAGCTGAACTCCAGCAAGCCAACCAACCTACTTCTGGGGCTGAACTCCAGCAAGACAACCAGCCTACTTCTTGGGCTGAACTCCAGCAAGACAACCAACCTACTTCTGTAGCTATACTCCAGCAAGACAACCAGCCTACCAACCTGCACTTGCAGTCCTACAGGGGAACTACTCTACTTCCGCACATGCAGTCTCATAGGGCAACCATTCAACGTCTGTACATGCAGTCCTACAGGGCAACCAATCT